TAAGATACATTGTTACAGTTTTCATGTCAAACACAACATATTTCTTATTTGTGTCATTTATTTTTGGCCATATGCCAGAGATCTGATATTCTATTTGTCGTATTTCTGTTTTGCATAAAACTGAAGAATATTCGGTACATCCTATACTGTATTCTAAAATGATCTGATATTAACTTTTGCATGGATTTTATTGAAAAGAGCTTAGGCTCATGTAACCAGAAGTTTTAAGATGTATGAATATGCTTTTAGGTTTTTCTTGCCTCATGGGTTAACATTATCTTAACAAGCAAAGCAATTCAACATTAATTTCACGGTGTGTCTGTGAAACGTTAAGGTACCATTGTAGTAGTTTCGTGCGCGCGTGAACGTCATGGCAACGTACAACTATGGCAAGCCAAAAGAGTCAGAAGTACGCTATAGATAAATCGCGTTTACATACAAAATGCCGTTAAAAGAGCGCCGTCAAATACGTCGTCCTGATAGCAGACGCTGTAAAAAACGCCGTATTTAACGACATAAATTTAATTCTGACCCTTTTGGCTTGCCATATGCAACACAAAGTATCTCGGAAACAGTTAACGTAACGCGTAAAACGCGCGTTTCAAGGACCCGTGGGAACCCTGTTTCTGACACGTTTATTGAGCACGACAGGTTTGGTGGAGGGCAATTACGTTTCCGATTCTCCTGGCGGTGTATGTGGCAGGAAGTCCGCTGATGTACAACTTCCCCTCCACGTCTAGCGTGTGTCCTTTAGTGTGTGTGCGGTCCGAGTCTGTCCCGTCCACACTGACCATCACCGTCTTCTTACTGAACTCCGCCTTCACCTGCACAAACACAGCAGACATCAGTGTTTAACCCTATAAAGCTACTGCATCATATTTGATGTGAATTTCTAAACCTCTAAACCCTAATCTTTACTGATTTGTGACCCTGGAGCACAAAACCAGTCATAAGGGTCAATTTTGTGAAATTGAGATTTATGCATCAGCTCAAAGCTGAATAAATAATTTTTCCATTGATGTATGGTTTGTTAGGATCGGACAATATTTGGCCGAGATACAACTTATTAGAAAATCTGGAATCTGAGGGTGCAAAAAAATCTAAATATTCTAATAAAATAATCTAAAATCTAAAAAGTACTTAGCAATGCATATTACTAATCAAAAATTAAGTTTTGATATATTTACGGTAGGAAATTTACAAAATATATTCATGGAACATGATCTTTACTTAATATCCTAATGATTTTTGGCATAAAAGAAAAATGTATAATTTTGACCCATACAATGTATTGTTGGCTATTTCTACAAATATACCCCAGCGACTTAACACTGCTGTTGTGCTGCAGGGTCACAAATAGTCCATCCATAAATAAATACATTAAAACCGATCATTTACTCACCCCTCACGTCATTACAAATCAGTATGAATTTCTTTCATCGGTGAAACACGAAAGGATCTTTGTTTTTTTTGGCAGTGTTTTGCAGTAGCCTACATGATAACGCTGCAGATGATTAGTTTTGCTTGATTAGGGAGACTGCTACAAGACGACGACAACAACAGAACTGTCAAACCTGAATGCATGCAAGTACAAATGAGATTGTAAAGCTAGATATATAGTGAATGACGACTTAAAGGGATAGTTCACACAAAAATCAGTTACTCGCTCTTGTGTCGTTCCAGACCAATAAGACTTCTGTTAATCTCTGAACACAAATGAAGATATTTTTAATATTCCCTCATCTGTTGAAAGTCCATGCAACCAACAATTTCATGCTTTAAAACACAAAAGACATCATAAAGGTTAATAAAGAGATCATAAATTAATCCAAGTCTTCAGAAGAATGGATTTATATGATGATCAGATTTAATTTAAGCTTTAATTCACACATAAACATTGATCAACACACAATCAGAGAGAACATAGAAATATGGTAAACTCAACTGTACTTACTGTAAGTACATCTGAGCTTCCGTTTACTATTTTGATGTGCTCGTGTATGTATGTTTATGAAGGTTTATATGTGAATAAAAGCCTAAATTAAATATGTTCATTATATAATGAAGTCAATTCATATGGATTTCTATCATGATCTCTTTATGAACGTTTTGAAGCTCAACGTTTTGTATTTTTTAGGGCAGAAATCTGTCCGGTTTCTTTTAAAATGTCTTCATGTGTGTTTTGAAGATGAATGAAAGTCTTATGGGTTTGTAACAACATGACAATTTTAATTTTTGGTTGAACCATCCCTTTAAATTCTGCTTTGTTCCTCGCATAAAGCTGTTTAACCCCTTTACTGTCACCCCCCATTTTTAAAATAGGCATGAAAGTGCACTATCCAAACTTAAATTGTTGTAATTAATGAACACTTTGGAATACAGACCTAAGGTTGGTCTCTTTTTAAAGAAGACAATCAGCAGATTATGGCAAAAGTGGAATAAAAAAAAAATAAAGTATCAAAAAGTTATAGAAGTTTAAATCTATTGTAAAGAAAATACACTGTACTCATTTTATTTTATTTTATATATAATAAATATTTTACACAACAGGTTTGACTCTAAAATTGCTATAAAATTTAAGCCTTCTGTTTAAATAAGTTATGTTCCAAATTTGAAGTTGATATGAAAAAAATTAAGGTTTCTTTGAAATTTTATTCAGGGTGTTATACCACAAACAGCCACCGGGTGCCATCCAAACTCCATTGAATTTTTGAAATTTCTCTGTAAATATTGCTTCTATCACAAAATCCTGAGACTTAGACCTTTCCAATGATATGTTTTTTGTCAAGATTATAAAAAGTTTTGATTGTAAAAGACCGTAATGCATTTTGTAATATGACACTTGACACCGCCCACTAAGGGGGAGGAGACCGCCAAAACATTTTAAAGTACCATTTCCATGGTAATGCAATATTCGATTTTAAAATGGTTTTCACAGGATGAATCTTGGGCTTCTTAGCTTTCAAATGATATATAATTTATGATGATTACTAAAGCATTTGATAGAGAAAAAGGACAACAACAAAAAAGAGTGCCAAGCGTCCCACAGGTGGGACGGTGACATTTAAGGGGTTAAAACTTACAAGATTCAGAATATAGCACATTAGTCATAGGGATTAATTTAATGGGGATTGATGGTGAGTTTATGGAAAAGAGCAGCCTTCTTATTCTGCTAAATATCTCCATTTGTGTTTCACCGGGGAAAAATAAATAAATCCAAATAGTGACAAAATTCTCAAGATTGTGGGTGAACTATTCGTTTAAGTTGGTGGTTCTTGCCTGGTCACCATTTATGTGCAATACGGACAGGTTGCCAGTTTGTAAATGAACACTTTTTATTTTATTTATAATC